ACTTGTAAGTTTTTAAATGTAAAAGTGGTTTACATTTAAAAATCATCCGCAAAAGCAATAATTTTAATACGTATAACACCATTCTACATAAATATATGCCTGTAATTATGAGATAAAGATTGTACAGATTTCTTATATTTTTAATCGGTCGAAGTCTTGTTCGAAAATCAAGATGTTGTAATTTTAACTCCCTATAAATTAATATTTTTCAATTACTGACATTCAGTTCTTATATCAGTATTTGCATTATATATTCAGGTTTCAGAAAAACGCACACTTTTGAAAAATAAACAGCAGTTAAAGAATTATACGCTACAAGTTTTAACTTACGTGTACTTGGCTATGTTCACGTAATTTGCGTAAGAAGATACGTGTAGAAATTTGTCATTAGCAAAAGTGATGACGTAATGCACATATATCTGGTGCTACAAGTACACGTATGCGTACAGGTTGGTTTGCTAAACCTCTCTAATATGGTGGATGTTGGTGAACAAATCGGAAATAATCCTAACAAAAGTCAAATTAATCATTTGATTGTTCTGGACTTTATATGCTTCAAGAGTAGAAACGACAATATTAATTTTTATCTATTGTTTATCGTATGTATCTATCATACAATGCACATGTCGTATTTTTTATCAACGGGTGATGCATTACCAGGGTAAATAGGGTTCTCGCTCTCCAATCTAATTAAAACAGATGTTAGGTCTGCTAGCATACTCGCTACACTAACATCTAACAACATCCCAAGAGGGTCACGTCAGAGGTTCAATTTATCATTCAATCAAATCGTCACTGCAAAATCATCGTATATTTGTTGAAGGGAATAAGTCTAGAGTTGTTTAGAATTTGACATCTGACGTGACCCTTTATGGGATGTTGTTAGATGTTACATTGTAGTGTAGCGAGAATGCGAGCGTATGTAACATTTATTTTTAATTAGAGTTTAGACTGCTTGCTCTCTTACATGTATATGTCTATTAGTTTATATTTTCTTTAATCGGAATGACAAATATGTATAACTTTTAAAATTGGATTGAGATTTGTATGTTTTGTCCGCCATGCGGTCCCAGTTAGTTCCATAATGGAAATATAACGTATTGATAAAGCATGCATGAGTTCAAATGATCTTGGCATTTCAAATTTTTTAACACTGAAAATAGTTGCCTACAGGGAGCAGTGGTTAGAGCATCTGCTCTAGAGTAACAGAATAAGGAGCTGACACATTAAAATTTAAAAATAAAAAAGTGAAAAAAATGGGCAGGTTGGGACCACTCGCCAAAATGGATATAATTTTATAGCGAGCGCAGCGAGCGTCGCAAAGCAACGCTCGTAACTGCGAGCTCTAACGACAACGCCTGGGCGAGAGAAAATTCCGGACTACCGCACATTCATTCTTTAAAATTTTTTGCTGCAGTAATTTTGACCCACAATGCATCACTTAGCAAAGCTGCGTTCTTGTGAGAATGACAACAAATGTTCAACAAAAAGTTTACGCGCATTGATTAAATGGATACATATTGAAGATAAATAGTAAACGTAACTTTTTTCATTAACTTTCAGCACTGTTCAGTTTTTTCTTGGTATTTGTAACTTACATACGACGTCATCACTCTCTACCATCGGCTCATACATTGCGTTTGTTTTAATTCATTATAGTTCAATTTCTATGCTTATGTCTTAGTTTTGAGATAGATATTTACTAAATCAATCCAGAACTATTAATTAAATTTGAAACTATTCTGCAAAAGTCATGTTTTATACGTTTCGTAAAAAAGAATCTTGACATGAACCCATTGTAGAGGTGTCTGAGAAAGGAACGAACGACAACTCTGCATGGGAGATTGACAACGTCATGTGACGTCAGAGTCTAGACGCACCAACTGTCACGTGCGGTTTGACGAGCTCGATCTAAATTTTAAAAAACAATAGAAGAGTTTGCAGGTCGCTCTAGCGGTCGCACCGTCAACATATTAGTCTAAAACTTTTTTTTAAAATTTTGGCTATCAATATCTGAGGAAAATGTTTGAAGATATGCCATAATGGGCAGTTTCGTATTCGTATGTCACAACACCAAGAAATTACATAAAACTGTATTAATGCATTATTTATCTCTTTTGATAACCTTCAAACTTACAATAACAAGATCCAAAAATGTAAAACTTTCAAAACTGCTTCGACTATTCTGTCAACCTTTCTAAATCGAAGCATGTCACTCCTTCCGGCCTCCAATCTTTTTAAAGCGCACTTAAATGCATGATAATGAAAATGTCTTTAACATGCCAAATTCACATTTGTACTTCTTACAAATCATTTAAAAAGATTTCTAAAAATCTAGAAAGTAAACACGCATAATGTTTTCATTTTTGATCCTTTGAAATCGAAAATGGCGGCGCTGTTTGTTACAGGCTTGCTGATTGGTTGAAAATTATCAGGTAAAATTAGAATATGATGGCGCACTGCGTATTTCCGTAAAAGTCAGGCCCTCGTGACCCTTTTGAGGTGTTAAAATGTTTTGCCATTTACTTAACAGTTGTGTTTCAGACGGACTTGAGATGAAAAAATGATGCCTTAATACGTAGAATATTTCATAATTAACATCACGGAAAAAAACATTATGTACAGAATTGGTTTTGTATTTAGAGATTAATTGAGTAAATTACATAAATCTGTTTTATGCCTTCTAGACATTTTGTGTGCAAAAGTTTAGCAGAAAAAAGTTTAAGGTAAGTTTACAAAATGTTGTTAAGTCTATCAAAACATAGATAGTATTTCACATTGTATTTTTTCATTCGTTGATGAGAGTTGTCTTTTCCTTAATTGTGATTTTGATGGTGGATCCAGGATTATTGGAGTCAAACGCGGACCCAGGGCCCGGACGCCCCCCCCCCTCCCCCCCCCCCGGGTTGAATAATTAAAAAAAACTTTTTGTGCTAAAATCAAGTGAAAAACACTTCTTACTGGAGAATTATTTATCAGTTGTAATAGGGACCTATATACTATAAATTAGTAAAATGAATTGTTTCTCGAGGAGATCGACTATGTAAAGTATAGATCGATGTACTTCTAACGTATAGATAAAACTCATATTTTGATAACATGTAAAAAAAAAAAACAAATTAGCCCCCCCCCCGATATACTACGAGCCTGAAAATAATGGGGTTTATTTTGTCCTGGGAATATAAGGGTTTTTAATTCTTATTGCAAAATTCTAAAAGCTATATGGGATTTCAAGAATATTTCCAAAATTTTGAAAGGTGGTTTAAAAGAGGAATATTATTCTCTTTACAAAAGTAGACCAACTAGGGTAGCTTTCGCCGACATCCACCTTTACTTTGTATGTGTGTGTGGGGTGTGGGGTGGGGTGGGGGGTGAAGGGGTGTTTCATAAATGTATCACGTTTATAAATAATTACGTTTAAATCAATCAATCAATCAATCAACAGAATAAAAGAAAATGTATAGAAATGTTCGAAAATACAAATTTAATTTGGGTTAATTTGCTATTGCATGGGAAACAATACTACAAGGTTAAATTTATCGGACACCCAAAGTAGTGCGGAGGAGATATTTTTTAAAAACTACAGACGGACATATGGACAATTAGTACAGACCGAAATTAATATCCTCCACTTTCAGCGGGGAACAAAAAATCACCTTATCGCCTTTCCTTTTCAAGAATTCCTTATTAGGCTTTAAGATCGACCCACCAATCCCACCCCCACCATTAAAACACACACACACACATGCACCCTGCCACCTTCTCACAAAATGAAATTGCTTTTAACCCCCCCCCCCCCCCCCCACACACACACAAGATAACAGGAAGAAAATGAATTTTTTCCTGTCTGCCTGATTTATATTTTAAGTCCTGTATCATTTTATTGATTTGATGGTTTAGTCATAAATCATCTAGAGACCTATGTTAAGATATAATCGCTTAATTATCCCCTCCATTTTTTTTGTTTAGGTCTTTTTACTCTTTTACGTGTATACGATTATTAAGTGTTTTTTGTAGGTACAGGTGTACGGAAACCAGGTGTACTCAGTAGAATGTCAGGGGTCAGTGCCATTGCACTAGTACAGGGCGCAAGCCGCGGAATCGGACTTCAGTTCTGCAAAACCTTGTTGCTGCGCAACTCTGCAACAACAGTGGTAGCAACATGTCGAGACCCAAACTCATCAAGTGAGCTGGCTCAACTGAAGGGCAACAATGATCGCCTCCATATTTGCAAGTTGGATGTCACGAAGGAAAATGATATTTCGGACGTTTCTAAATATGTAACAGAAAAGTTTGGTAAATTAGATTTGCTTATCAACTGTGCAGGGATGTTGCATCCGAGCGGAAAAGGGGAGACAAGTCTTAAGAGTGTTGATGGACAGGTATAATTTACCATTTATTGTTTTGTTGCTTACAGATTGATATCTGCCTGCAATTAACATACTTTATAGTGTAATCCTCTCTTTTTTTTTCAAAGTCTATAAGAATATTTTTTTCAAAGAATCAAATTTTAAAGATCTGGGTCATATTAAAAGTGAACAGGTACAACAGAACAACGGACGAAACAATGGAGGCCTGGGTTATTATGTTCCCCAAACGGAGTTTGGGAACATATTGTTTTTACTCTGTTTCTTATTATTATTATTTTCCCCCAAAACGGAGTTTGGGAACATTTTGTTTTTACTCGGTTTCTTATTAAGGTTTGGCTTCACGGAAGACCTTATAGTTATTGCTCTGTTTCTTATTATTATTATTATTATTATTTTTCTGACACGATTTCTGGACAACTACTGGATAGAATTACATGAAATTTTCAGGAAAGATGTGTTGTAAGATACTCTTGAAAGTTCCAAGACAGTTTTTGGAAATTCCTCTCTGGTGCCAAGTTTTGGACCATTTTCCTGATTTTAAAATGACATTTTGTCTACGATTAAACTCAAAAACGGTAAAAGATATCAATGTGAAACTTTCAGAGTTTATAGATGATGATCAATACTTTCCAGGACGCAACTTTTCGTTCGTCGTCAGTACTTCCTGTCGCTACCGGAAGCCAATTCAAAAAGTCCAAATTTTCAACTTTCTTTGTTTTTCAATATTTTTCATTTATTTTTGGAATATTAATAGAGACACTTCTATTGATGCTTACTATATAAGTTGTTTTAATATTGGTTAATCTGAACTCTAGATATTAATATTTGAAAATCTGAAGCGGGCCCAAGATGGCGGCTGTCTCTGTCAACTCCGACATTTCGCGAGTAGGGGCTTATGGAGGCAGCTGAACGTTTGATTAAACCATTCTGACATAAGGATACATGAAATGCAAAAAACTACTTGGACTCTCACGTAGTAGAATGTTGCAATTCAGTGTCAATCTTAAAAAAACTTAATTTACGTCTCACTGCTTTAGTGTTACTGGGCTAGATACGATATGTAATGTGTACAATGTGTTAAATATACTTTCCTAATGCCGAAATAAAATAAAAGTGATAAGAATGTTTTATTTAATTAATTTCATTAAAAGCTATTGCACCTCTTTAATAAATCAGTACAAAGAAAAGGTGCGAATATTTATGCGTGGCGTTTGACACGAAATTATGAATAGTGTCCCGACTTTTATGATTCTTAGACAGGTGTACTGTTGCAAAAGTATACACAAGTATATTTAAAGCAGTATTCCCAATAGCTAAATGGTTCGCGCGTTGGGGAGAAAAGAGAAAAAAATGCGCATTCACGTTGGCGACCTGGATTCTCCCCCTCCTTGTGATCAAAATTTGAATCACTTTTTAGTTCGATTTTACAAGTTTTTTTTTCCTGAATCTGACGGAAGACCTCTCGTTGCTCGCAACGAGATCGTATCTAGTTATTATTAAGGTCTTCCGTCTTCACGGAAGACCTTATAGTGATTCTATTGTTAGGTCACCTGAGTAAACTCAGGTGACCTATTGCTATCCGTTTTCGTCCGTCGTGTGCGTCGTGCGTCGTGCTCGTGCGTTGTGCGTTAACATTTGAACATTTTCAGCTTCTTCTCTGCAACCACTGAACCAATTTCAACCAAATTTGGCACAAAGCATCTATGGGTGAAGGGGAACAAAAATTGTGAATTTCATGATCCCTGCCCCCCAGGGGCCTGAGGGGTGGGGCCAAAACCACTAAAATTAATGCAATCTTTAAAAATCTTCTTCTTTACTCCTGGGCATCAAGCAGTCAAACTGTTTGCATGAATGTAATCAGCAATGAGTCCTCTACCAAAATTGTGAAATTCATGGCCCTGGGGTCAGGGGTTCTAGTGCTAGGGCGGGGCTAAATAAGTAGGTAGTGAAAATGCATTATTTCTTTGAAAATCTTCTTCTCTGCTCCTGGGTATTAAATAAACTAACTAAGTACATAGTTATGATGAGCAAGAGTGCCTCTACCAAAATTGTGAATTTTATGGCCCCAGGGTCAGGGGTTCTGGTGTTAGGGTGGGGCTCTATTGATTATATAGTGAAAATACATGAATTCTTTGGAAATCTTCTTCTCTGCTCCTGGGTATTAAATAAACTAACTAAGTATATAATTATGATGAGCAAGAGTGCCTCTACCAAAATTGTGAATTTTATGGCCCCAGGGTCAGGGGTTCTGGTGTTAGGGTGGGGCTCTATTGATTATATAGTGAAAATACATGAATTCTTTGAAAATCTTCTTCTCTGCTCCTGGGTATTAAATAAACTAACTAAGTGCCTAGTTATGGTGAGCAAGAGTGCCTCTACCAAAATTGTGAATTTTATGGCCCCAGGATTAGGGGTTCTGGTATTAGGGGGGGGGGCTCTATTGATTATATAGTGAAAATACATGAATTCTTTGAAAATCTTCTCTGCTCCTGGGTATTTAATTAAACTAAGTGCATAGTTATGATGAGCAAGAGTACCTCTACCAAAATTGTGAATTTTATGGCCCCAGGGTCAGGGGTTCTAGTGCTAGGGGGGGGGGGGGGTCAAAAGATATGGAGTTAAAATACATGAATTCAAAATCTTCTTCTGTGCTCCTGGGTATTAAATAAACTAACTAAGTGCATAGTTATGATGAACAAGAGTGCCTCAACCAAAATTGTGAATTTTATGGCCCCAGGTAGGGGTTCTGGTGTTAGGGTGGGGCTCTATTGATTATATAGTGAAAATACAGGAATTCTTTGAAAATCTTCTTCATTGCTCCTGGGTATTAAATAAACGAACTAAGTGCATAATAATGATGAGCAAGAGTGCCTCTACCAAAATTATGAATTTTATGGCCCCAGGGTCAGGGGTTTTGGTGTTAGTGCAGGGCTCTATAGATTATATAGTGAAAATTCATTAAATCTTTAAAAAATTTCTTCTCAGCTCTAGGGTATTAAGCAGATGAACTACCTATATAGTTATTATCTACAAGGGCCCTAATCTTCCAGAATTGTGAATTTCAAGGCCCCAGGGTCAGGGGTAATATGGGGGGGTGTACTTATATACTGAAAATGAATGAATGGTTTGAAATCTGCTCCTTGGTATTAATCAAATATCAAGGCCTAAGGGTCAGGGGTTCATGTGTAGTAGGGGCACTACTGATTATTGCTGAATATAACTGATTAGTTGAAATGCATTTTTTGTTCCCCTACCTTGTGTATGGGTATTGAGTAAACAAACTAAGCAACTGCTAAGTGTATTGTTATGATGAATTAAATTTAATCACTGGAAAGTTGTTGCATAATGCTCAGGTGACCTATAAGGCCCATGGGCCTCTTGTTTCTTATTAAGGTCTTCCGTCTTCACGGAAGACCTTATAGTGATTCTACTGTTTCTTATTATTATTCTTATTAGGGTCTTCCGTCTCCAACGGAAGACCCTTCTATTATTGTATTGTTTCTTTTTCACTTTTATTATTATTATTATTATTATTATTCCACTTTTTCTTTTTCAATTTTTGTGCAGACGATATCTCAAAAACGGTTTGATATATTTTAATGAAATTTTCAGTGATAATATGTTTTGATCTGAAGATGATCCTTTTTTGTTCAAATCTTAAAAATTAACTTCCGGTGGAAGTTTGCCCCTTTTTAAACGAATTTTTAGTGACCATTTTGTCGACACAAAAACTCAAAAACGACAAAAGCTAGAATGTTGTCATTTTCAGGGCT